TGGGACACTGCATGGGCGGGAAGGGCCCTCTACTGTGGCATCTGGTGGGAGGGACGGTGTGAGCCATGGGGAGAGGTGGGAAAAGCACATGCACGGCAGAGGGAGAAACGCCACCGAGCCCTGAGGCTGAGCATGCGTGGTGCCCAGGAAGAGCCAGGCGGCCAGGAGGGAGGGTGGAGACGGGCGAGGACGACTGAGCACCACCTCCTCAGCAGCTGTTGAGCTGGACTGTGTGAAGGGCTCAGATTTGTGGACAGCGATTAGAATTATAATTTCGGCATATGCTTCATACCCAGTAAGGATCATGACGACCCAATTTGGTTTTTCTCTATGCTTTCTTGCTGCCCCTGCCAGGAAGTCCCATGCCTCTCACTGTCCAGTTCTATGCCTGCGCCTAGGCTGTGCCCCCGCCCACCCCACCCCCCATCCTAGCTGGCATCCTTTTACACGTCCTTTGGTAAGCATGGTGTGTCCTGGGCAGCCTCCCTGAGCTGTCTCTGGTGGGGTGAGGGGGTCTTCCTGGGTGCTCCTGCCCTTCCCTCCTCAGGAGCCCTGCCTGCATCCCATTACGCCCTCATGTTTAAGATGCCTCTTCCCTGTGAACCGGGAGAGGCACAGTGAGGCCAGGGTTGGGTCCGCCTGATTCCCAGCCGCAGCACCCATGTTGAATCCGAGCGGGCCTTTAAGGCTTCTTTGTGGCTGGGCGGTGGATGGAAGCATGCCACATGCTGGTGAAATTTGCTCCTAGCAGGGCACGTTACAAGGCCCAGTCCAACTAGACAGTATTACCGCACTGATGAAATACGCAGGGCCTCACAAACGGTTCCCTGCTCAGGCCGTGGATGTCATCAAGAAAAGTCCCCAAGGGGAAATATGTTGCCAAATTTTGAGAACTTAAAAATTGGAAGGAACCCTAGTCGCCATTTAGTTAAATGTCCTCAATTAACAGAATGGGGAAGCAGAGGACCAAGGACCAAAGAGTGGAAGGGACTTGCCACAGTCACTGGGGTGTGGTGGTCAGGCGGGGAAGGGTACACGGTGCTTGATTCCTTAGCGTGGGATTCAGAGCGCAGCTGAGCCCCGTCTACTTGCAGGACCCCAGCATGCACACACTGAGACCCTGTAGGGGATCAATGCCGGGCTTGGCAGGGGCTGTTGTGCCATGTTCTTGGGGTTGAGTGTGTTTAGATTTGATGCATTTTGTGGGCAGAAAAATCCCTGCTTCTATGTGATGGCTTCTAAATCCTTCAGTCTAGTTGAATATGTTTGCAAGTATTTTAATTTCTGGATCAGATACACAATGCTTCGACCTGCTTGGCAGAGTTTTTCCTCTCCACGGAGTCATGGACTATAGCAAACCACATTTGAAAATAAATTATTAGTAAACATTTGGAGGTGAGAAACAAATTATTCCCTGAACAGTTGGCTCCTCCCTGCAAAGACACACTTGAAAATTGCTAAGACTCTGTTCATGAGAATGCTTGACTCTCTCCCTAAATCATAACACTGGTAAACTTAGCGAAATATTTTTACAATTTTATTAGAGGTTTTAATTCACTGCTTTATCTATCTCTGTTAGACTGCAAAATAGCTTTAAATATTCAAGTGGTAATTAATGAATCTTTTATGTTGCAAATCAAACATTTTCATCTGTGTGCTGGTGGAGCAGTGGTGAGGAAGGATTTAAAGAATAATTGTTTCTCCCGATCCACACTGCCGACTAACACGTACCTTAGGTTTTAGGAGCGGGTTTGCATTTGTGGCCTGGTGGGGCTAATGCTCAGAGTGGACGGTGTCTGCTGTCTTTCTGGAGGTCAGGATTTCTTACATTTTTTCTGCCAAAGACATTCCCGACTAGATTGGAAAGTCTTTGAATTTGGAATTTTTGCTTGAGTGCAAAATAATCAAAAGCATGTGTATGTTAAAAAGGATCAGCTTAATGGCAAATGAGCATTGGCTTACATTAATATTCTATTACAGTAAAAACTTCTATTTAATAAATTTTCTCCACCTTTCCTTTTTTTACCCCCAGAATCTAACATATTTTTCTAAGTGCTTTGCCAACCTAAAGTATATACGATACATTTGATTTATGTTAAGTCAATAATGTGCACAAGTCATTTAAGACTATATTTTAAATGTAGAAATAATCAACCCATAGAAACACATATAGTACCATATATTGAGAAGGGGTGTCAGCTTTTGAGGGACTGAAATGCCTTATAAATATTATTCTATTTAGGAGATATTTTTTAAATGCAGTCAGATGGCAGTATATAGCAAGTCTGAAATCCTGTGATTCAGCTTAAAACTCAAAATTGAGCTGGTTTTAAAGACTTCACGTAACCAAATAGTGTTGTTCCCTTCCTCTGTCACTAAGGAGAAACAAGCCCGGGAACGCAGGCAGCTCTTGCGAATGTCCGTAAGAGGACTGACAGATTCTTCATCGGAAGCCACCGTGCTCTGCCAGGACCCTAATTAATACTGGACTTGGTGACATTTATGTATCAGAGCAATAAGCTAAACAGGAAACAATTTATGTCGCCTAAAGCTTTTTAACAAATCGATGCAACTATTTGTAATTGCTTGTTTCACAAGATTAAAAGCGCTAAGGCCTGATCTTCGCCCATGGATTTGTGGTCAACCTGACCTGGGCTTCCGTTGTAAAACGAAAGAAAGAAAAAAAGGAGCGTTGGTGATCAGCACCGGCTTCCATCAAGTAATCCATATTGCTAATATTTCTGGAATTTTAATGTAGTTACAATTTATAGCCGATCAAATGTGGTTACCTAAATTGCTGTTGCTAGTAGACAGTTTAACTGTCTTTATTAATTACAGTATAATTTAATGTTTGAGTACTGCCACTTGTGTTGGTCATTTTTACAGCTAGAGCAGTTATGTGCCTTACGACGAACCATTTTAGCATTTTCAATGGAAATTTGCTAATATGATGAGTGATAAAAATGTCACACGCTGGTAAATAATGATTATTGCTTTGGCTGAAATTAATTCTTGAAAGGCCGGTTACCTTCAAATTAACATTATAACTTGAAGCTTCTCTTTTTTCCCTTCTCTATGTTCTTAGTATAGCCAAAAACAAAACAAGGACCATCGATCATTTCAATTGGATACATATGTATTTTTTTGGTATTAAGCATCAAATGTCATTTTACAATCAGAGTGGAAGTAAGACATAGGGTTTGGTTTTTATTTTTTTAAACTCTTTAAAAAAAACATAAAATTAGGTTGTATCTAGAATGATGGCTTTCTAATCCAAATATTGTCCCCCAGTTAAACCAGTGTTTTTTTTTTTTTATGTAATTTAATTTCCCTCCAGTGTGAATTGTGTTAAACCTTTCATCAGTCAATTCTTTAAATGAAGGTTTGAGACCCAGCTTCACTTTATTTGAATAAAGAACACTTTTATTTGACTCCACTACAGTGAAGATGAAAGATAATTGTGATTACTACCCTGTACATAAATATGTGATAGCATCAGAGATGACAAAATGTAGTAAGTCAAGGAAGACTAATTATGCTTTGATCTTTCTGGGGGATGGGGAGTAAGGGGGACCTGGTTATGGTTCCGAGCGCGCAGTTAGCTGTCTGTCCTGGTGGGAGGCTGGTCTTTCAGAATTTAGGATCTTTATGTAATGGACCCTATTTAAAAGAACAACCACTATTTGGGGTTTGCTGCCTTAGTTCCCCAAGTGACAAGCCTGAAATCTATATGTAGGTGAAAGAGGAAGTTGCTGCTTTAGAACAATTCCTGAAACACAATGAAACATGTGCCGCGCATCAACCAGCCAAACCACCGTGCCCAGCCACACTTGGTTTGGGTCTCTCGGCTTCTTCAAATATGTGTACATATTTAATTTTACCAACCGCATGTGCTCTAAGCAGTATTTATGTTTAAGCCTGGCATTTAAAGGAATTTCAATTAACCCTAATATTATATTCTTAGTAGCTAGCTGAGAATAAGGGTTCAAATGTTTTATTAATTACCAGACTAGAGGGCTTCTAGACTGTGGCATAACTGTTAATGAAAAAAGGACAATACTTTGCAACGTAACAGCAAAACCTGTTATGAAAAAAAATTTTTTTTTCTTAATATGGGCTTTTCAAAACAACGCTGGCAAAGAACGTCATCCTGTTCCTTGGCATCAGCTGGTGTTTTGCCGCATGAAAACCACAAGGTTAATTTTCAAGCCATCTTTCGGCTTGTGTAATGGGCGCTGAATTATACACCTAACGGGCTTGATGTTACCACTGTTCGGCCACTCACAGTACTGCTTTCAATACACCGATTTAATTTTTACTGAAAGATGACGCCCAAATTCATCAATCCTTGGAGCGTATACAACAGGACATGAAAGAGACATAGCACATTTCTTTAGCGGTATGCAATTAAAAAAAAAAAACCTTAACACGGTTTTCCTTGAGTATTTAGTTCCTAGAGCTGTGCTGTCTTCTTCCTGGAATGCAGTTACGTAGCCTACTTCTGACCAAGTGGTTTTGTAAAATTATTTGGTCTAATCTAAGCATTTATCATTATATGCAAAAAGATTTCTTGATGAGAATATTATAGACGGTGCGTGTTTTTGACATTAGCATTTTATTTGGATGACTAATCTTGCAGATGTGGAATTTTAATGAATTATTCATGAAATTGCTTTCGTCTGAAATTTTAGTTTGCTCTTAATGCTACTTATTGAACATTTTGTTTCTTCTCTATAAAATTTGATGAAGGAAAATAAGGTGGGCTTCCTTGAGAGGAAGGGTGGCCTGTTTTGTGTTGTCCCCAGTTCTCGAAGGGAAGACTTTCACTTTGTAATTCTGAGGATAAGGGCTTTGGGCCCTCTATAATGAAAGCTTTTAGTTAAGATGGATTTTAATACTGTGCTGCAGGCAGCTGGTGGTAAAAGTAAAACGCATTATCTAACAACATTCAACATCAGCAGGTCAGAGGGGAAAGAAACTTAGGCTGTGGCGACGTGGACTACCAGTGTGAACAACCAGCATTTTTATTGCATTTGAGAATGCTATCACGTCAGTAATTAGTACTGACTACACAACATTTTTTTTTATTGTCTGTATCCACAGACACGGAATGATGGAATTACAGTTGATGTCAAGGAATGAGCTTCTTTTATGCCTTATCAAAAGAAAACAAAACAAAACAAAATTCTTGTTGCTGGCAGCACATCCACGAAGCACCACGCTCACAGTCCGGACTGTACCCTTCGTTCAGCAGGCCTCTGTTAGCAGAGATCGTACGAGCTACGCTGGGCCCGCACAATGCCATCAGAACTGTTCAGTCTCATTCTCAGGATAAAAAAGCAAAACCGACTCTCAGAAACATCCAGGGTATCAAGAGGGTATACCATTAACCAACAGGTACCAAAAAGACTCAAAATCCTTACAAGCATGTTCTTTGTACCCCTGGAAACAGAGCTGAGCTGGAATGTGTAAAGCATAGGAAATATTTTTTAACTTCTTTTTTTCATGATAAAATAGCTAGTGATTACGTCAATCATATTTTGGGCTAAGAATCCGAGGTGTTCTTTGCTAGTCTGACGGAATGCTGGGAATGATGTCAGAGCTGTCCGAAGGTGGCAGGGGTGGCGGTTACTCTTCACGTGTGTAAGCCTGCAGGTTCCATCTCACTGCTGGTTCAGTGTGGGTAATGTAACGTATCTCACAAGGACAGACTCTAGGGATGAGTAGGATGGATCCTCATTCCTGACAATGCATTTGCCTGATACAAGGGACTATCTTCCAAATGTACGCCTTTCTTGGAGGGCGAAAAAAAAGTAACAAATTGTCTTTACATCTTGGCACCTTGTAAAGTTTTTTTTTTTTCTTATACAAAAAAATTCAATAGCTTTGACACGCTCCATTATTAACCACTAGTTCACTGATAAACTTTGAAAGCTGACCCTGGAATTTCATCATGCAAAATATTTACCGCAGCAGGAGAAAACATTTTTTCAAAACAACATTTTTTTTTTTCTCTTTTCAAATGTACGAACTCGTTTAAGATAGCCAGGAAGGCAGTGGTAGAATAAACACAAGGGATAGGAATGTATCAAAAAACAGATTAACACACACGCGCGCGCGCACACACACACACACATCTGTACAAAATGCTCCAATCAATGAGAACAGGAAAAAAAAAATCCATCAACTATGTTACAATTTAAAAGCCAAAAAAAAAAAAAGGGGGGGGGGGAGTTTCTCTCTCCCACATGTCAGGAAATGTCATCCAATATTCTTGAAGCAAGGGTAACTAAATAAAATACATGTGCAGCATATTCTGCAATTCCATTACATACAGTAGTTTTTTTTTCCAAAGCTGTTTTTTTTTAAAGTATCATTAATATAAAGCAGTTGCACAAAAAAGCAAAGGTGTTTTGACAAACAGGTGTATGCATTTATTCCTTTTTAGGAACAATATCTAAAAAAAGAACTGCCCTCTGCCCTCCCCCAAAAAAGACAAAGATTCACACAGACACATTGGGATATATGTACAACATAATAAACCCATCCTAAAGAAGCGACTGGAACACCCCCGAGGGATACAGAACTGTAAAAATCATAGTGAAGTCTGCTTGCTGTAAAGCCTGAGAATTGTTTTTTTTTTTTCAGTTGGTTCTTCTGCAAGGCTGTGATACCTGCAAAGATATGTAAAATCTACTTTTTCTTCTTTTTGCTACAGTCTTTAGACGAAGCATGCAAGACATACGACTAAGTGCAACTGAGTGAAATGTATTTTTTTTTTAATTTTAATCATTCCCTAAAGGTTTGAACTGAGGTATGCGTACTAACAGTTTCTCATGCTGTTATCTTTACTCATGTCTAGCTACACATGCTGAGAATGAACTAATCTACCAGATTTTTATCCTCTTTTGAATACCAAACTAACCAGCAACCCCTCAGTTTAGAAGCACAGGGCCCCCTTCCCATGACCCTGTCTGGCTACTGCCTGCACGTCATGAAGCTGCCTGGAAAAGTTAAAAAAAAAAAAAAAGTCTCGAGTGACCACAGACTGCCCTTTGTACAGAAAGCAGAGGGAGGCTTCAGAAGCAACTGCTGAAGATGGTTTTGTACCAAGCTTACGAGCGGACCGGAGTATTATTTTATTTATTTATTTATTTTGATGAAAAAAATGCTGACCAAAGCCTGATGAGAAAACAGGAAGGAGTAAGGAAACATTAAAGAAAACACAAGCAAAAAACCAGAGGATAGATGCCAAGATACACCAAAATTAACTCAGTGGTCGTAGCACAGTCCTTAAACCAAAGTGGCATACAATCTTTCTTTGAAAACCTGTGTCCTAGAAATGCTAGTGTGTGGTCTACCTACACCGTGGCAGCGTTCCTGTTCTCTCTGAGTGTCACTGTAACTCTTTCCTTTGTCAGATGCCCCCGATTTTCATGGGCATACATTCATTTTTTTCTCTGTGATGGGACTTTCTTCCTTCTTTCAGTCCTGTGATACTATTTTTATCTTCAGTAGCCCCATAATTTCTTTTACAAGAAGGAGTTTTGGTCTCGGTAGAAGTGCAGAAAAGAAAAAAAAAAACAAAAACAAACCCACAATAACTAAAAAAAATGTAAGAACTTTGGCTCCATTACCTACTTGGTCTTCTCAGTTTATTCTGCGGTGAAGGGGCAGTTGTCTTCCTCGGGTTAGCGGGGCCTGTGTGTCGTCCACTGCCTCTAACTGCTTTTGCCTCCTTTGATCAACAATAAGAGGATATTTGGCTTCATCAGATAAAGCATAAAACAGAGAACATAATTTACCTTTGTGTAATATCTTTGGTAATTTTAGGAAAAAAAAAGGTACAAAGAATATAAATTAAGCTCCAAAAGGCTCAAACTAAAACAAAACAAAAGCTTCGGTCCTGGATAAATAAAGGAGGAACAGGAAAGTGGGTGCAGAGGGGAGCAGAGGGGTTCTGCGGACCGAGGGTGTCCTGACCGATGACCGCCACGTTCTGCAGGCCAGTGTTTGTTTCCCGAGAAGCCCCGGGCCGAGGGGTGCCCTCACCTCGTCTGCTTGCTGTCTTCTGTTAGATTTTGATTCTGGGTCGGTGCAATAATTTTACATAACGGACTGAAGTGCAGAACCAAATGTGCACGTTTGAAATGAACGCTTTAGCATTTGCCGAACTGAGTCCTCATTAACTCCCATAACAAATGCAATCTGAAATCTCATTTGCCTTCAAACAGATTAATGCCACTAAGCAGGTCTCAACTGATGTTTAAATTCAGCGCCGCCGCCACGTTCAGCAAACTTGCTCAGGGAAGCCGGTGGCCCAACTGCAACTCGGTCATCGGGGAGAGCCTTCTGCAGCCACACTGGCAGGCCAACGGTCAGATTTGTTTGCAGAGGGGAGGGGTGCTGCGGGGTGCTGCCTGTTTCCTTGTGCTGGTCAAACGATGTGGCATTTATTAAGAGGGACAATAACTGTCAAAAAAAAAAAAAAGAAGGAAATCTGAACCCCCTTTCCCACCTCCAATACTGCTCTGTGGAATGAATCTGCTTGTTCCTAGAGTGTCTGTCTCTCTTTTTTTTTTTTTCTGTCATTCATTCTCTTTCTGGCAGGGCTTCATATCTGTGTGAGAGGGCCTTCATGTGTAGAGTGCAGCATTTGGGACCTTTTTTGAAAAAGACCAAAACAGAATGTTTTCTGACTTTAGAGAAAACGTGGTGATGTCTGAAGGAAGATAGAATGAGTGACAGAAAACTACAAACGAGAAATGACATTCAGCTTTGTGTAATAAAAACACCTATTAACATTCATCACAAGGTACAGAAAACTTTAAGCCTCCAAGAGGCCATGGGCCCAAATGGAGGCCTGAGGTCAGAACTTAAAATGGTATAAGTAGAAGCAAAAAAAAAAGCAATACATTAAAAAGTTTGGGATAATTATTTTTAACCCCTCCCCCCAATACACACACAAAGGCCTTCCCCATCCCAAATGGAAGCAAAAAAAAAAAAAAAGGTAAAGGCAGTGATAATCAACATGCAGTACTGTGCAAATAGGTCGTCCATTGGAATCCTTAAATTCTGGGCAGAGGCTTGGTGCACATGCTCAGCTGGGTGTCCTCAGTGTCCAACGCTGGCAGGACTGCAGTTCAGAGTCTGCTGCTAAAAGTGAGTCAGTTTAGCACATTTACAACACTGATGTTGACGGTTAAGAGAGGAAAATCCCAAGTACCAAACAAGTCCATCCAATGCACAGAGTACAAATTCCTTTTTTCAACAAAAAGTAGAAAAATCAAAAATACTCCCAAATGGGATTCTTGATGGCACTAAGAGTTAACACATTTCAGAGTCGTCAAAATGTAGTGAAAATCCTCCAGACTGTACACAAATGGAGAACGATTTCACTGCTAACTTTTGACGCCGTTTGTTTGTTTTCCCCAATCTTCATTCTTAGGGCCGGCCCGCCCAGACGGTCACTCCATGTCCTCGTTTCCTGGTTCGTCTTCGTAATCCCTGTCGTGGTCAAAATCTGGGCTGTGGTTGGCTGTTGTCACCAAGGACAGAGGCCCTTCGGCTTCCTCTGGATCGAGAGGCTCCTCTTTGACGTGGACAGGATGCCTGGGGAGACAAGAGAAGGGCCACTGAGGGGACTTCCCAACCCAGAGCATTTTGGACAACGCCAGAGCCATACTCTGGCCACTAGCCACAGGTACCAATGTAAATTAAAATTAAGACTTAACACAACTGAAAATTCAGTTTCTCAGTGGCAAGACCCCCATTCCCAGTGGTCAAGGGGCCGCATGTGGCTAGCGGCTCCCATGTTGGGCCGTGCTGCTTCGTACACTTCAGTGTGTACTCCAATCACCTTGGGGTTGTGCGAAAGGCAGCCTGTGACTCAGCGGGTCTGGGGCGTGGCCTGAGACTCGGCATCTCTAACAGGCCCCCAGGGGATGCTGCTGCTCCACAGAGGACCACACTCTGAGTACCAGATAAGAGGCCCCATGGCCCCATCCTGTGTGGATGAATACAGATCTTCAGATAATCACGCAAACTAAGAATCTGCAATACAGTGGTGGTTTGTGGAGACCACTGAGTGCAGGAGGCTGGGCTAATCACGGCTGGCTGTGTGTTCTGCTTTGCTAGTTAACATGCACAACCTGTGAAAGAACTCTCCGGAGACCGACCCCAAGCGAGGTTCTATCATTAATCAACTTCAAGCAAACACAGCAAAGAGACACCATGATACATGCTTGAAACTCCAAATTAATGCATATTTTTACAAACTGTCAATAAGGCAAGAAAAGCCCTGCCAGGAAACACAAACGGAGAGGAAAAGGCGCGCTCAACACAACAATATGATAAGGAAGCAGAGCCCCAACCAGAATAATAACGCTGTCAGCCGTAAACAAGGCAGAACACCAGGCCGGCTGGTAGCGGCCACCGGGCGTGTGCGGCTGTGATGAGATCTGCCAACTTTCTCGTTATGGGCCCTGTGTGGCTCCCCCAAAGGGGACTGTGGGGGATCACATGGAACCACTCCGATAACAATTGAGAAATGTTGTTCGTAAATCATATTTACAACAGATCCTTTGCAAATACAAATTACTTTCTGTTGCAGGGCTTTTGATATGTAAAAGAACCATTCAAGTTAAACCAGTCCCAAGGCCGGGACAGGCTGCAGAAGGGAGGATTTTTTAATTGACGTTATCAAGTATTACTTAGTAATAAGAGGTGGTCCTGGGGATGGCTGGCTTCCTAAATAATTGATGTCGCATGCAAACCCCAAAGGCCACTCGAACCATTTAAGAACAAACAGAGGAGTGCTTTGGACTGCCCTTGACGACCCGAACCTTCACAAAAGCAATTGACTCTAACATTAGCACAGCCTAGAAGAGTGTTTGTTTGGGGGTAGACGTCAGGATAAATAGCTTTAAACAACTGTGCCCATATTCTTAAAAATGATTTGCAAAATGGCATACACTGAAGTTGTAGTATAGTATATTTCCCCAGGTGTGCTCCATGTATCTGCAGTTTTTCATGGTCCTATCTGTCTGTGTTTCCTACAGCGTGACCCAGAGCTTGGCCATCTAGCTTGTGGAGCCCAGCAGAGAGTGACGATGCACTTCAAAAGTTAGTTAAGAATTTTCAGACAGACGGAAACACAGAGCATTAGAACTCCCATGGTGTGGCCCCTGATGGTGTGCACACGCCCATGACGTCAGCCCTGGTAAGTCCCTTGTATTTTGGGAAAAACGAGGTATGCTGATTATGAGTCCTTAAAAAAAAAAATCGCCCATAAACCCTAGTTAAGATAGATTTTTCTTGTTTTGTCCCCATCCTGTGTGGATGAATACAGATCTTCAGATAATCACGCAAACTAAGAATCTGCAATACAGTGGTGGTTTGTGGAGACCACTGAGTGCAGGAGGCTGGGCTAATCACGGCTGGCTGTGTGTTCTGCTTTGCTAGTTAACATGCACAACCTGTGAAAGAACTCTCCGGAGACCGACCCCAAGCGAGGTTCTATCATTAATCAACTTCAAGCAAACACAGCAAAGAGACACCATGATACATGCTTGAAACTCCAAATTAATGCATATTTTTACAAACTGTCAATAAGGCAAGAAAAGCCCTGCCAGGAAACACAAACGGAGAGGAAAAGGCGCGCTCAACACAACAATATGATAAGGAAGCAGAGCCCCAACCAGAATAATAACGCTGTCAGCCGTAAACAAGGCAGAACACCAGGCCGGCTGGTAGCGGCCACCGGGAGTGTGCGGCTGTGATGAGATCTGCCAACTTTCTCGTTATGGGCCCTGTGTGGCTCCCCCAAAGGGGACTGTGGGGGATCACATGGAACCACTCCGATAACAATTGAGAAATGTTGTTCGTAAATCATATTTACAACAGATCCTTTGCAAATACAAATTACTTTCTGTTGCAGGGCTTTTGATATGTAAAAGAACCATTCAAGTTAAACCAGTCCCAAGGCCGGGACAGGCTGCAGAAGGGAGGATTTTTTAATTGACGTTATCAAGTATTACTTAGTAATAAGAGGTGGTCCTGGGGATGGCTGGCTTCCTAAATAATTGATGTCGCATGCAAACCCCAAAGGCCACTCGAACCATTTAAGAACAAACAGAGGAGTGCTTTGGACTGCCCTTGACGACCCGAACCTTCACAAAAGCAATTGACTCTAACATTAGCACAGCCTAGAAGAGTGTTTGTTTGGGGGTAGACGTCAGGATAAATAGCTTTAAACAACTGTGCCCATATTCTTAAAAATGATTTGCAAAATGGCATACACTGAAGTTGTAGTATAGTATATTTCCCCAGGTGTGCTCCATGTATCTGCAGTTTTTCATGGTCCTATCTGTCTGTGTTTCCTACAGCGTGACCCAGAGCTTGGCCATCTAGCTTGTGGAGCCCAGCAGAGAGTGACGATGCACTTCAAAAGTTAGTTAAGAATTTTCAGACAGACGGAAACACAGAGCATTAGAACTCCCATGGTGTGGCCCCTGATGGTGTGCACACGCCCATGACGTCAGCCCTGGTAAGTCCCTTGTATTTTGGGAAAAACGAGGTATGCTGATTATGAGTCCTTAAAAAAAAAAATCGCCCATAAACCCTAGTTAAGATAGATTTTTCTTGTTTTGACCCATCCCCTCCCATGTAGGGCCATATTTTTACACATTGTAAACACAGCAAGGAAATGTTTTGTGGTTACATGTGAGATGCCCTTGTGCTGACACATTATGTGCTTACTACTTGGCATTTTGTGATTGTCTCTCTTCCTCTCTCCTGTTTCGCTCTTTGTATAATACAGTGACCACCTTTATTCATTAATCTTTCTACTTCTGTTGATTTACCTCCTTAGGATAAACTTTTAAGAATGAAATTAATTGTTGGGGCAAAGGTCAAAACATCTTAATGGTTCTGATGATTTCCTGGAGTGTTAATTTCCAGAGGGGCTGCATCAGTTTCAGTCCAGCTCCATCAACACCAAGCAGTCCTTTAAAAAAGTATTTTGTATCTTAGCTGGTATATGAGAAGCTCCGGTTCCCTTAAATCGTTTTCCTTACACTACAGACACGAGGAACATATCCTCATGTTTGCATTTCATATTTTCACTACTGAGAGTTTTCTTCATACATTACCCTTCCTTCTCTACTGATGGGATGATCCTGCTCATGTTTGTGGGCAGGAATCTGCCTCTGTTTTACTCAGCCATGTCTTGAGATTCCACTGTTGTCTCCCTGATCAATATTTTCCTTTCATTGTTTGAAAAAAATATCAGATGTATTAATCTTTTCAGTTCACAAACTGGAATCTGATGACATTGAGATGATAATAGCTTATGGGCAGGAGGGGCCTAGAAATTAATAACCCACCTATCTTAATGAAGGGCTTGTTTTGTAATTGTAGACTTTGACGAATGTTTTGCTAGGCAAAACAAATTAAGACAGACAGATGCATGTAAGGCCCCCACTAAACACAGTTCACGACAGAAGTTATGCTGTTCTCCCCCAAAATTTGCAGCCTAACTTCAGTAAGACTATTTACCATCCCAAAGACACAGGTTACCTCACCCTATCATGGAGGCTGGTTCCATCCCAGGGCTTAATGCAAAGTGGGTTCCCAAGAAATGCGAACTGATGAGATTTACTGTGATCCGACCTGACGGCACAAGCACGTTAGATACTCTAAGGCTTCTCAGAACTCCAGAGAAATTATAATCCAGCTTCATGATATTTCTTGGTACCTGCAGATCCCCCAAGTGTGGCAAATGCAGTACCACGGGCATGCAGTGCTTCAGAGAATAAAGAATGGATTTCCATGCAGGATTCATTCTAGGTAAGATGCTGACTAGTGAAGATACTATGCTTCACATACACCCACGTGTCTCCTAGAAATGAGCTGTGTCACGTACCCTCTCTGCCTGCAGATCACCACCCCTTCCACCTTTCTCTCCAATGCCTACTTCCGGAAGGGCTACGAGGGAATAAAACTGCAAAGCCACACACTTCCCTCCGGGTAATTCCTTCGTTTAGCCACTCTGGGAACACAGCAGGTTTTAGGTGAAGCTGGCTGGCGTTTAAAGGCCTTGTGTTCTCAGGGTGGGTGCCCAGCATGGAGTACTTTGCCTTGTAGCTCCTATCAGGATAAAAGTGTAATGCCCCAAAGCCGTAATTATGTCACTCCTTTCTAGTGGTTCACAAGAGAAACAAAATGTCACGGTACTGGGGTGTCACAGGAAGTACAAGTAAAGAGGTCTGCCTGGGCTGCTGTGCTGTGTTTGCAGCTTGCTTTTCATTCCCTGGACCAGAGCAGGTGAGAACTGATTAGCACCCTCGCAGTGTCATGCAGATGGAACGAGAGAGCAACCTACGTCCTCACCGAATTCGCTTCACTGAACTGTGAGGTCAAGAGGCAGGCACAGGGCAGAGGGTGCTGCCGACAGATCACCGTGTGCAGCAAACAGTGTGAACTTGCGAGCTCTGAGCGGCACGGTCAGCATTTTGACGTCTTTATTAGGCAGGGTTCCTTAAAAATCATGCCATGTGCTGTGAAACATGGTTTCTGCGAATACTGGGGGTAATCCAAAATTGTTAACTTTAGAGTGACTTTATCTTCAACAGAAAAAATTAGCATCACTCTAAATTTTGCCTGAGGTTTTTATCCAAGTATCCTGTTGCATGCTTTTTTTAGTGATTCTTTGTATGAAATAATAGGACTATACATCAACTAAGCTTTGGCGTTCACAGAGATAACGAGAAGTAGTATCTCTTTCATTCAGTAAGTTCAGGTATTTCTGAGTATTTCTTAAAGTAGGTTATATGCCAATTTTCATTTGCTGTGAACTTCCTTAATATCTAAGTAAATAGTCCTGTCATAATAATGATTTAAAGATGAATGTAAGTCAGAAACACCAGGTTGCTTTAGAAAGGATGATATATGGCAGCAAGAAAGATAAGATGTTGGGGAATAAATGCTAAGAGACTTCATATGAATTAAAACTGATGATTTCCAACTTTAAAGATCCTTTTCAAAGCACTTTAGGCATAAAATTCAAATGCTACATAATCAAATTTCAGATTCCCCCAAACGCATCAATTACCCTGGCAGACAGCAGGAGTTTCTTTTTGGCTTTAGATGCAGATCTGCCCTGTTCCTAATTGCTTGCTACAGGTCATATTTTCCATGGCTATCACCTAAGTCATCCTACAGTAAGATGCTGGGCGGTAATTCAGGAAGATCGTGTAGGTAAGTGGCCTCTTCTAGTTGCTCACAATAGTGCAAACGTTGAGTTGGTTTGTTCCTTGAACGTGGGCAAGAGACGCTGTCATTGTACCACATCTGCTGCAATTCAATCATTCAGGTTAAAGTGGATTTTGTCTTTTAAGGTCTCCTGGGGCAGAGGGAGCCCGTTCCTTCCCTCGCCCACCCCCAGGAGCCCAGGCCCCGTTCCCAGGCGGCATGGACGGCCGTGGCCGCCAGTGCACTCGGTTATGTGTGCTCGTTATACTGCCGTCTGCTGCTATAATGCGCCTATTAATGTTCCTTTCGATATTTTAAGAGCGATCTATAAATCATGCCGCCTTTCATTTGGGCCATCATTAATGCTGAGTCGTAATGCTTTGGCGTCACGTTCAAGGTTGAGATTATTAGATAACCCAGTAAACAAGCATCCTTTCTCTCCTTGCTGGGTTCAGCGTGCTGGCAAGCAGAAGGAACTGCAATTTTTTTTACAGAGGTGCATAATAATTTTAGGAAGAAAAAGCAAAAATGTGGCTTAAATAATGGCCTGAGATGCCAAGCAGAGGGAAAGAAAAACAACTGAGTTGCTCACTGTTTTGCTGCAAGCACTTGTAAGGCTGCTTGAAGACAATGGCTTTTTATGGGACAGTTAGCAAATGGTCCTTTTTTACCAGGCTAAACATTTCCAGAAGCACACACTTCTACCCGGGGTCCAGGGAATCAGAAATTACCAAAGATGTGTAAAGTAGGGCTAGAGAAGGGCTTGTGTGCCACCATGAAACAGGGAGACTGGGGCGGAGGCGGAGGCCTTCCGGGCGGGCGGTACTCACACGGCTTGCATGGGGGATCTGCCCGGACTGCTGTCGCTCTCGTTGCTGTGCGTGTGGTCCGCTGCTCCATTCAGCTCTTCCCGTATTGCGCTGGCTAAGCCGCCCAGAGCGGGGTTTCCCATGGAAGCGGTAGTGTACAGAGGTATACTATTCTCAGCCATCGAAGCCTGCCAGCAACCAAGAGGAAATTTAGGAAGACACAGTTATGCCTATGTAGGGAGGGTATTACCTGTGGGTGTATTCAGTGATCTGGCTAAGTTCATCGTGGCACGGGTGGCCAGCACCAGGTGTTAGGTGTACAAGGAGTTTGCTTCACAAAGCTAGCTGGGGGGACAAAAGGATTCACGGGGACTCAGTTCAGCCCTGCTGTGTAGTCACATGTTTTAGGCCAGGCTATCTATTATGAGGTTTGAGTCCGATGCCTTATTTCAAGAGCAACTAACAGTGAGACTTTCATTTCCTTATCCACTGTGATGACTCCAGTATTGGGTAGTAAAGATTTGATCAGATTATTCTGGCTGTAGAGCTCAAACTTACGAGGACTTCCATAAACATTTACCTGCTAGATCCTATAGAAAAGGAAGAGATTACAGAACTGGAATCAATTTTTATCTCCCCCTGTCAGTTCTGTTTTAATGGTTTTTAAATCTGGTTAGTGTAGTTGGGGGTGGAAGGTAACAATAACTAACAATAACACCATGTCATCTTCCAGCCTGGGACCTATCTTGGAATTTTGGGATTAAAGAAAAATACCTCTGGCAAAAGGAAGCATTTGAATTGTATTTCTCTGGGGCACTAAAGTGCATCCACATTGAAGTTGAGAAAGTCACTCCAAGTGGATGTCAGTAAAAAAAAAAAAGGGGGGGGGGGAATGAAAAAGAAATCCTAAACTGGTGGGCTGCTGTTCACTGGTTATGCTACTGCACTGGAATAAAGTGGCCATGCAGTCTGAATTGCAGACAGCAGGCAAACAGATCCTCGGATTGAGGTATCCGTACATACTGTTAGGCCGTAAGGGTCGAGTGACTTTTCATTTTGTTAAGAGGACAGACTTCCAAAAACTGGCAGCAGTAATTAGACCAAGATTTATCAAAACTGTCCTTTTGCAGACTACACTACGCCTGGTTTTCTATCCTAATGAGGAAAAAGGACAATCACAAGACAATCTGGCATGGTGACTTCAGTTGGCCAGTCATACAAGAGTCCAGACTATTCTGGAAATCCTGGCTCTAGACACAAAGTAAGAGCCAAAATGAAGAACGAACAGGTGCAAAGCTGGGCTGCGGGGAATCCGCCTGTGATGGCAGTGGCAGCCTCGCTGGCTGCACAAACTCCAAAGGCAGAGCTGCCTTCTAGATCCAAGCCCTGCAACAGAGCACCCACCACCTAGCACAGCTTGGCTATGCAACTATCTCACAGCTAGGCCCTCGGCAAGCACGTAGCTTTTCCTTCCCTCCACTTCTGAATTTGTGTTAACTGCCTTCTTTGAAAAAGTGCAGGGAGCAATCCGAGTTTTATTTCCAAATGTGGTGAACTCATTTTGATGAAGAGCAAATCTGAACATTCCTCACTCTCCTACAGTTTGTCAAATCATTTGCATCAAGAACTTTTTGCAACTGAGCTCTTGTAATTGCAATAAAAGCATTTTTTTCTCTTTTTTCGGCAGAACAAAAATCAAGAACAGTTGCCAGATTTTCTTTTTTGTGTGTGCAAACTGCAGCTGGACAAGCACCTGAACTGCCCTTCTTATTTGAGACAATGCAGTGGGCGTGCCTCTCGGCCATGGAAGCTCTGCCTGTACCGTCACCTGGGTGAGTCTTCACTGGCCCTGACACAAGATCAGGCCGCTGTTACACGGTCAGAATGTGGCAAAAGTGAGGCCATCTCTAGGTTGGCATTTCTTCAGCAGCTTCTCTAGTAAAAAAAACTGAGGAGTAAAGACAAAACTGAAATGTGGATACAGATGTGTTCTCTGGGTCCCCTTGTGAACAGGGCGACGTCCTTGGGAGGACTTGTTCTCCGACAAGGAAGAGGTAAGTGAAGGAAACCCAACTCGGCCCTGTAAGACAGGATGAAATGGGTTGCTAAGAGAACACGGTGCCTGAGAGACCTGCGACAGTGCCTCTTGAACAGTCTTTGTTGAGTGAGTGATCAGTCTACCCAAGGGTGGAAAAATTTTCACCAACTGTTTCTGCCTAACAAAGTGGTTTTTTCTAGTCACTGTCTACTCAGGGAGCAGGTGGGTTACAATTTTTCTAATGGACTTAATTATATAAATGGCCCTGTGCACAGCACGCGGCTTCATATCCAACTGGCACCTCTGCCAAGAAAACGAGGCGGCCCAAGTAATGGAGCACAAGCCCGTAAGCAAGCAGCACTGCGCCTGGAGCACTGAGAGCCGCGCAAGGCAAGGCAGTCTATAAATACGAAGCTTTACGGTTACCCTTAGTTACTTCACTTTTTCAGAGCATAATGCAATCTGTCCCAAGTCCAATGTTTTATTTCTGTAGTGGGTTCTGCTGTCCTATTTTATATATTGTATATCATGCATTATGTTGCTCTAGTAATCTTTTTAAGATGTTGTTCCACTATTATTTTTACTTGTCTTGAGAAATGGAAATGGGCAATAATGGAAAGGCAGGCCTGCTGGGTGAGTCTTAATTTAATTTGCCCAGCAGAAAGTTAGTTAGCTTATGAGACCGGCAACTGACAGTGGACCTAAAGTGAGTGCAGAGAGCAGGAAGACCCATTCAAGGCATGCACTTGTATCAGTTTCTGTACCTCACCTCATTAGGGACATAAAGTGTTCTTGGAAAACTGCAGGATAGTTCTGGGCTATCCCTGGAAATAAGAGAGAGTATAGAGCATGCCAGAATAATTTTTTTTAGAGCCGGAACATGAATAGTTCTGTGATGATAAAATATACTAATTCAAATTAGTCACATAGTTAAGAGGATGGCTGTTTTACTGTGTGTGTTTTTTTTTTTTTTGCCTTTCTGTCTCATGAATGTAAAATGTGCTTGTAATCTTAATACTATTCCAGATAGAACAGACTTCACAAGACTCCAGGGAAAATAAGTTACTAATGAATGGTATTTACAGTGGCAGCATCTAAGCATGCTTTCATTTGCTTTGCTCAAGTTACTAGGTAAACTACAAGCAATTAAAAGAAACGCAGAAAGTAGTTCCGATTAAATTTAGTTCAGGCTAAAAGTACATATATAATTACTAAGCTCAGTTCACTGAAGACAGACTGTACAAGGTGAGAGAGAATTCTGTAGGGTGCAGAGCACATGCTCAGTAAGTACTGGTTTAACGAATAGTGAGAACCAGGGCTCCTGTGTCTCTCCTGTCCCTTAAGGAGCCTTTTCTAGACTTCTGCTTCTCTAACTGTAGCCTCCTGTTGTGAAATTTTAACATGTGTTTATGGCTCCTTGGAGGGGCACCAGACAGACACCGTAATAGCTAAATACCATTTCTGAGCAAAACAGTCCCCAGCAAGAGTGCATGTGGCAAAGGTCCACACGGTACTAGATTCCAGTCTGTACATCTGGTCTATCCCTAGAATATGTCATTTACAGGTTATCAAGATTGCCTTGGCTGGTCTTCTGAGATGAGCTTGGTACAGTCAAAATCAAATAGGACCACTGCTCAAAGGATGCGGCTTACCTACACAACTCTTGGGGGGCGGGGGGTGAGGATCACTGCAGTACAGCTGTCTGCTCATTGACTGACGAGATGACCCTACTGCTTGGCAACCCAAATGCAGTAAATAAAAGGATGGCTGGCCACCCAGGTAACCCTCTGCTGGGGCGGTACTCTCACTCCTGCTCAGTGGTGCCCACAGCCCTGGTAATGCTGGTTGTGTAACAGCGCTCGGTTTACCGGGAAGAAAGCGACATTGTATGCGCCTGTATGTAATCTTGAGCAATTGGCCAGAAACCCAGAGACTGTTCTTAAACACCTGTCTCACTTAAACAAAACCAGTTTACATTCACAATGTGACCTAAACCCAGCCCTCTGCCCCACCAGGGATAAAAGAAAAGATGCCAGCATAGACTTTAAAAGGAGAAATTAAAAGCTCTGCTTTCTCTTTAAAGCTGGGGAACAATAGAAGGTCATGTGATGCAGTGGCCTATCATCCAGCACATTAATAGCTGTGCTGGAGTAATTACACTTGTGGTATTTTTGCCTCAAGTGAAATTCTGAAATAAGAGGATGGAAATTATGATACTGCTGATAAATATTAATAAGTGAACTTTTAATTTTTTTGCCACAATATTCAAAATGCTAAGCATCCTGCTAATGCTGAAGCAGCCCAATGTGTTTGCCTCCAGGGAGTACGATGCTTTGTGCACTTAAGAAAAAAGTTTAACGGAATTAAAATTTAATATCTAATTAGAGCGAGGCTAATATATTTTGAAATGAGTGGGGGAGACATGTGCCTCTACTGCATATCGGGGACCACCATCAATCTTACCTGTAAAGCTGCATTGAGAGGTGTACAGTAGGCGTGGCTGCTCTGCATGTTTTTAATAAGGGAAGGGTTACTGCGTAAGAAAAAGATAAAAACTCAGTTAAATGCAATCAACCCCCAAGTTCCTAGCTAAGTTTTGCTTTAAGCTTGCTGTATCCTTGCAAGTCAGAACCCCCACTCCCACCCCATAAAAAAACTAAAGCAAAGTCAGGTTTTCTCCATGGTCCTTGCCTTTCTTGGGCTGGTCTGGAAGGGGTAGACTTTGCTCTTCAAGGGAACTGGGTATAAACTTCTGGCTCAATAACAGGCTTGGCCACTCCCCACACTGATGAATTACGGACCTCTCTGCAAATTTCTGGTAACTGCCCTGATGCCTACAGGAAGGCTCTGGGGCACTGGGCCGGGGGGATGCCAGGGAGCTGGCCGCAGGGCTTCCTGCAGGCAGACTATGGCAGAACGTGGACTCTTGGGCCTCTCTTCTCGGTGATTGAACTCTAGCACGGTTCTTAAGGAACTCTCCAAGGCACACTTACTGCCAAAAGAAGACGGAAAGAAGGGCGTGCCAGGGCAGGCTCGCTCCTACAGAAGAGACGGGGTGCACTGCATAGCCCAGTCTGGGAGGATCTGATGCGGGGCACCTTAGTTCAGTGAGCGAGGACAAGGACCTGTTTCACTGCTGGCCTGGGACCAGAGGGAGTGGCTTTAAACTGAGACCATCACCTGGCGCTGGTCTCACTCAGAGGCCTGTGTCATTCATTTCACTTCATTTATGTGAGTGAGCAAATCAGAGGAACTTTGCCCCCGATAAATACATGGTCTCACTCTAACTACAAGCTTCCTCTGTACTTGGAGGGTCACACAACAGTATTTAGGGAGAGGGTCCCTGTAAGCTGCTGAATGAAAATACAACCGATATTGGCCTTAAAGACATCAAAAAAGCATTATTCAAGGTGCTGGTGTTCCAAAGAGAAACGAGAAAATACACGTACACGCCACACCATTTAGTTCCGTTGCAGAAAGCCGTGGCACTGCTACGTGGTGAAATGCGAGAACTACATGGGATGAGTCAACCATGCAAAGCCAAAGCAACAGCAGAAAACAAAAACAAAAGCAAGTAAAGGCTCTTACTGTGCGACAAGCTCGTCAAAGTTTTCATCGGGGCAGTATTTGCGAGGACGGCCTCGTTGAATATGGCGGCCACGTCTAAACTCTTCATCATCAACTGTCCAAAAGGACCCAAACTCATCCTCTACTCTGATAAAGCACTTATGCAGTGAGAGGTTGGTGCGAATGGCACCCTGGGATAGGAGCGGCGGCAAAGGAGATGGAGTGGCAACGAAAGGAGACAGGGTTGGGGGCAGAACAGACATCCAGTACAGGGGACAGGAGAAAGAAAATAAAATGCAATAAGCATAAGCCAATGGTTGTGAGGGTTAATATGCATTGCCACCTAAAAGCTACTAGCATGTGATGCAACAGAGACCGGCAAGCAGGGCAGGGGGACTGGTGGGTATACAAAACAGGAGGGATGAAATGCTTTTTTGCTTCCCTTAACCGAGACAATGTGGAACCAGTTCTTTGGTCTAACACCGTCTAGCAGCCAAAAGCCTCTACGTCATACTTGTCAGCACAATCCAAGCTAGGCTAAGAAGTTCAAACATGGTGGACGTACCCACTGATCTTTTGTGGCCTTCGTTTTTGGAACTCTACTTCATCCACTGTCCATACTGCCCCTTTAACGTTTTCTACTCGCACAAAACACTTGTGAAGACTAAGATTATGACGCACTGCATTCTGCAGCAAGTATAAAAGAGAGAACATGTACATTTTCTATAAGAAAAGACTCCAAAAACAGCAGTACATTCAGCCTAACAGTCCACATTTGTAAAACCATCCCCCAGAGCTGTGGCCACCCCCCTCCGTGGAGGACCTCCTTGTGGTTAAGGGTGTCTTTTCCAAAAGCAAAAATAAAAAACTTTAAATGAATCGCACTGTGGCATTTTAGTCCAGTCTCTGCTAAAACCTCACCAGAACAAATATTTTAAAAATACATATAAGCCCCAAACAGGGTTCACGGTAAAGATCTGAAAATATTGTGCATGTGACTTCAAAATAAGCAAACATGTGCAGCATAAAACCATCCTTTTTAAGCCCACTTATGTCCCATTAAAAAAAAAAAAACGGTAGTTCTATTCTTTAATAACCATGAATGAGGATAAGTAAGTACATTTTGTCTTTGTTCTTTTGTTTTTCAAAGCTTGGCTGTAGTACCTACGGGTTTTCTCAGGAAGAAATCTAAATTGGACTTTACCACTGAGAGGATTGCCTCCTGCAGCCGACAGGACCAGGGCTGGAAATGACCCCCCAGATGATCAGTATCCATCATCAAGTTATGTCTTACCTTCCCGAGCACAGACAAAAGTTGGCCCTTATGGTGGGCAAGTACCTTAAAGAACAGAAGATACCCGAGGACTGCTTGAGCAGAGCTCTCAATGGCAAAGTGGTGCTATTGCTGCCCTGGACGGTTTGTACAGACACACGTTTCTGGTCATTCCCAAGCTGAGACCCTTGACAATCTCAAGTCAAGGGAGAAGAGCCTGTAACATCTCATTTTTCCTGCGGGTTTTAGGAAAATCCACAACCCTCACTAGGTACGGTAACAAGCATGGCTTGATCCTTTAGTTCTCCTTGTCGAATGTGTTGACCTAGACTCAAAATTGGACAGGAGGATATTACGTGTCCTTTACTCAAGACTTTTCTTCTAGGGAGTATAAGCAGGTCACAGGTGGGGCACGGCAAGAGAACACCTTGGCAAGGGGCCACACCTCTCATTCTGTGGACGTCTCTGACCCAATCCCAACAATGCTGCTATTGCTTAGACATTCTGCACACCACCTCTTGTGCCACATGCCCCACGTCCTAATTTATGCTTCGATTTTGGACAATCGCCATGGGTGACTCTGTGAGGAGTCCAGCAAGATATGATTTTTTTCTGATATGAATACTTAGACTGTAACCAGACAAGTGGTATTATGTGGCTAACTTGTCAACTGCTCACCAGGAGAATCCACAGGATAAACTCTTGAGGAGATCGTGAGCAATGTCAGCATAATTGGGGCAGGTTAAGACATTCAGGTCACTGAAAACGCAAGTCTGCATAAAAATATCTCTGGAAAATATGGGACATGTTACCACCACACAAATCTGTCCTTCCAAGTTGCAGTCTGGTCTTTAAAGAAGCACTTTCTTTTACATACTGCACCAAGGCCTAGTATAAGCACGCTAATCAGGGTGTCCTGTTATCTCCTGAAACAGTACTAGGGAAGTTAAATAAATAAACCCAAATTTCCTTAAAAAAAAATCCAGAGAGCAGGTATAAAATACAGCGGACAAAACTGGAGAAAGAAATCAACATTTCTCCTTATTTTAATCCTAGTCTGATGTTTTAAAGTAAGTATATATTAAAAAAAAAAAAAAAAGTTCAGAACTGAAAAGATCTAAAGAAGCCACACCAGAAAAAAGGGTTCCTATAGATCTGACCTGTAAAGCCACACGAGTGAAGATGGAAAGGCAAAGGTCACCTCTTGTTTTCCAAGACTGCCCACATAGGCAACCGGAAACCAGGAGTGTCCCAAACAGGTGAGTGGCTGCTCGGCTCTGCAGTCCCAACCTTACCCGGGTATTTCCTCTTCTGAGATCACAGTACAGATGAGGACACGTAGGTGTGAGTCCTTAAGTACTTCATCTAGTATTGTCTAGACTAAGGACACTTTCTCCTGCACTTTGCAAAATGCGGAAGTGAAAGCTGAAGAGCTGTACTTAAATAGCTACAACTGGTAATTATTTTTAAATTTGATCATTGGCTCTCTATAAAAGGCAATTTGAAGAAAATGTCCACTTCATGCTTCTACTTCCTAAATTGTTAAAAGCCTTCATTGCTAAAGATGCTTTGTATTTTATGTCCCAAGGCAGGCTGAGGGAAAAAGGGTAAGATTTGGAACACAGGTTTCCTTCAGCACCCATGTGTTGTAAAAGATAATTTGGGCCAAAATAGATATTCACAGTTCTGTAAGGCTGATGAATTATTTCTATGGTTACAGTCATTGTCTTTTCAAATGCGAACTTATCAAGAATGTAACAGAGGGACTGTGTTTTCTGTTTTTGCTTTGGTTTTTCTGCCATATGAAGTTAAGGAAAATAGCAAGGCAGGCACTTATTTCAAGCAATGTAAATTCTCCTTGCATCATACCATAAATGCCTATCAATCAATTACATTTATACTAATGAAATGAAAAAATATCCTAAAATAGTTGCATGTTGAATGATTCAGAATTTAGGAAATAAAAAAATTTGGGAAAGTAAAATATGCAGAGGTATATTAGATGTATCTGCCCTCTTTTATAGTAAGGATATTGTAATAGTGAAAGTGGGAAGATCCCAAAATTTGTGAGGGCTTAATGTAAATACCAAAGAAACCAACAAAATACACCAATTAATTGGGGAGCTGGGAATGAGGTCCCCACGTGACCCTTCAGCCTTATTGGTGACCTATTTTACAGCAAATTGTGTTGCAGTGAGGTTACATAACTCAGAAGCTACCTTCCTTCCCCAGTGTACCTGAGAATCTCCGACAGTCTCTTGACTCACTATATTATGTTCTTTCTTCTATGATGATTCCTATACACAGTTAGTACTTGGACTACACTGGATACTCTGTCACTAGGTTGAGGAGCATTTTTTAATCCAAGCAATGAAGGTTATGTCAAGTTGAATCATTTTTCCAGGTTCCTCTCTGCATCTCTGTAAATATATGGGGGTTGGCAGGGGATGGATGTAAGAGTATGAGGTTTTAGTAGGACGACTGTGTTGTCTGTTCCTTTTCCCTACACACTCCAGCCAGAGAGACATGACTTTCTTGGCTCGTCTCGCCAGAAGTCTTCCTTCCCTGCATTTTTACACCAAGGGAATTAATTTTGTTCAATCAAATATTACTAAGAATTAGAGTGTGTCAAAACGATATAAATGGAACTTAGAACAACGGCATGTGACCAACACCACATTCACTTCTATAAATGGCAAGATCCCAGGCTCAACAGGCCTGTGAGCAAGCTTACCTTCCACGTGGCGGCATTGCGTCGGAAGTAAGCAAACATTCGTGTGAACCAGTTGTAGATTTCATTTAGTGTTAGCTGCTTTTCTGGAGATTCGAGAATGGCCTGTGCAGCAAAAGTAACAGGAGATGAGTGACGCCCGAGTCAGCAGGACCGTCATCACAGTTTCTTGAAAAATCTAAAAGAACCGTGATTCAGAGCTAACTCCTAAGAAAGGTTTCACAAAATGATCTAAGATTAATGGCTGTATTTAACAGTTCAATAGCAAAATTCAAAATGGAAGTATCTAATTGTTTTGAGTTTTTATTTCTGTTTCCATACAGAAATATTAATTTATAAGTCATTCATAAAGCAGAATCAAAGAGAAATGCAAAACATTTCACTAGCTGATTAAAGCTCAGTAATTATTTAGAGCTCAGATTAATTCTAGGGATCAGAGATTACTGTAGCTTGTGATAATTGACTTGCCATCTTTAAACAGGCTCATTTTCACTGTTGTGTGAAATGAATTTCCTAATAATCACATTGTATTGTAATACTTAATCAAAAGCAATTATGTTATATATTGCAGTTTTAAAAAACCTTATAGAAAAGGTTTTACCATGCTTGCATACTAAACGGTTTTAAATCTACGTCATCGATATGCCCACGTGCACATGTACCTTTTGGTGTACCTTCATTGTTTACTTACCTGCCTAATTAAAGATGCATATGTAAATGGTGGTCTAACTTCTGCGTTCTTATAAAATTCTTGGTTCTGCGCAATATCTGCTAAATAAGAATCATTGTCCTATTAATTATCACTTTTTAAAAAGAGGCTGGACTGCAAGACTTGGCTAGGACAGTTCTACCTGGGGCACACGTGGAGTAGCTACCTGAAGAAATGGGCACGTTGTATTTGTCTGAGTACCGCCTGCGGATGGGTCCCACCGTGTGCATGCTGGTGGTGGTGATGACGGAGGGGCCTTGGGTGACGGGAGTGATGGGGGCAGTCGGGGTCGTCGGAGTATGAGGTAAGCTCTGCGGAGAAGCCTCTGATGCAGACTTGGAGAGCGTGACACTTGATACCAGATTCAGCTGTGAGGAGAAAGCACAATTCTTAGAAGACCTTCAGGAAAACATGTGAAATCGGACAAATAATACAGGGGCTGCCTGGGTCGCTGTATTTCCCGAAGTACATGTTCATAAGCAACTGAAATGGGAGAGTTTCTGCATAAAAATGCCCCTGGCAGGGCTCTCCTTTCCTCAGGAGATGGATGTTTTCCCCAGAAACACCATTAGGTGCCTGAGTGTCTGCAGACACAAAAAGGTTAGGAGGCCAGCAAGTCTGAGAAATGCTGGGTCAAAATATTATTGCCATCGTGACTTTGAGCCCTCTTGAATAGCCCAGGGTGCTCTGTAAACCTCAGAGAAGAAGACAAGATCCTTGGGGTGCAAATGAGCACCACGCTTTGGAAATGCCAGTCGGGGTACGCTAGCAGAGGCCTGAGCGCCCTGCGGAACCTCTTGCAGCACCCTGGTGCAAGTGAGGAACTGTTTTTACCGCTTTCTATCAAAGTGCACTTTTACTGAGATAGCCACATGTGGCCAGTGGCTCCAGCTGGGCCGGCAGAGGGCTGGCCCACTCCACTCCACAGTGAAACTCCACGGTTGGGAATTCTGCAGATACGTCTGGCTGTGTCTCAAGCTAAGAAGAGTGGCCCCGATGTGCCATCGTTTAGTTCTATCAGTTGGCAGGGACTAATCTTTGAAAGCTTTCTGTGTAATCGTCATTAAACTCTATCAAAGATGGGATTGGAATCCATTAATTTAAAAAGAATATGGCATATGAGAGAGCTACAACTGTACATTTTTTTCTTTTCTTCGAACTTCAAATGTTGGGCAATACAGCGGAATGATCTATTGCACCAGATCTGGAAAAAGTATCAGAGAGGCAAACGAATGACACTGTTTTGAGCCTTCCTTCTTTCTAAGCTGTTTAGCCTTCACCTTGAAGTGCTTCTCTTATTAATAATGGACAAATGGTTTTGTCCTCCCCTTTCGTAAAATTTGTTACAGAAATACTAAGTCTGGCTCTGCTGAAGAACTGGGTTGTTTCCAACATACCCACTAGAGCTTACACAGAAAAGCTTAGCTGAGACACTCAAAGCCGCTCCCAAATCCCAGCAACTTCAGCTGTGTGGACTGACTTGGTAACATTTTCTCAAACCTGATTTCAAACCACTAAAGTATTTCAACAGCACAATAGTCTTAAGTACAAGACAGTCTTTGTGGAAGGTGTTAACAATGAGATTCCTCCAAGATCATAATCAAAGAACATACTAAAACAGAGTTCCAAATTTTTGCAAAGACTCAACATTACACATCTGCAGTAGTGCCGTAACAAAGCAGTGGCTCTGGGGAAAAGAAAGCTCAAGTATCGCTGGGTGGACATTAATGGGAAACTGTAAACATGGTGCAAGGAATTGCACGGTGGGCTATAAGCTTTCAGCTGCACTTGCCTTTTCATCCCCCAGCTCCAAATGCTGACTCAGCCAAGGCCAGACAAGCCCCTGCACCCCGTGTGAAGAGAGCAAGCTGCAGACGTGGTACGGCTCTTCCAGGTGCCCAGGCCCTCTGGGCAGATGCTGTGAGCAGTTTTTTCATTAGTCCTGGAGACCTGACTTTATGACACACATTTGCAAGCTAAGTGCTAAGAGTTCAGAGTATCAGCCAGGGGACAGAGAGAGCTGAGAAGCCAGGGGAGGAGGCTGGGCCTGACCTGCTCTTTACCTTGGGCCTTAATCACTGACCAAGGGCAGGAAGAGTATGTTTAAGCATCAGCCCAAGCAACGGGTCAAGGAAATTAGTGCACGACAGGCCAGCACTCATAAATAAATACACAGCTCCTAAAATTTAGATGTTGCTTGGCCTAAGGATATGAGAACACCGGGGAAGCCATGGGTACTGTTTGTAAAAATCATGTTCTAAACCACTTGCCATCGTGTGATCTCACACCATACCACACTTGAGGCTTTTACTCACAGTTAACTGATCAGCAAACTGAGGCTCCCAAGAGATTAAGCAACTTGCCCATATTCGTAACTTGGACCCTAAGTCACACACACACTTGTGAATCTAGGCCTTTTGTATAACCATCTTATGCCCAGTTAATGGGAAAAATAAACACTGATTTCTTTTTTGGAAAGGAGTCAGTGAGTAGCTTTTATCCCTGATTATAAATGACATTCAGTAAGTATTACTGAGCAATAAGGCCTGTGGAATTGAAATGAGAAGAACAGGAACAGACCTCACGGTGGTCGCTCCCGAAGAGCTCACCACCCGGTGCAGACACCGGCCAAGGAAAACATGCCCAGCAACCATAAAGGGGCACTGGTTACTCATTTGACTTTCTGGCATTTCTTCTCCGCTTTAGAACATTACCCGACACACCATAGCTTTCCTAAAAACACAAAGAAAATTGTAACAAATTGTAACATATGTATAAATGTCCTCAAGAGCTCGTCATTCACCTTTCCAGTTTTGGGAGGAAAATCAAGTCCACTGGGTTCTGATCTTGTAGCCAAAATTCAAAACTCACATCAACGTTCAGTAAGTGCAAGCCCACCTTTTGATGCTCCCATGCAAGAGTAGACAAGTCACATGGTACCATGTCATAAAATGTGCAAAGAATGGGATTCTTGTAGCTCTTACGAAGGTCTTAAGACCTGGACTGTTCACACCAAAAAGCAACAGCGAAAAATAAAATCCCTCCAGATCAGCACAATCCACAAAGAAATGAAAGAGGTGCAGCAGAGTTTTCTGGAGGCTTTTGAACCTAGGTAGCGAGTGGAAATAAACGCCAAGCCAGAGGAGAGCAGAGAGGGGGCTTGCTTACCAGGCTTGACAAATGACACCGTGATTCACACCCACTGCTGGGCTGTCTCTAATAAGCCACAGAGGAAGCAGCCAATCTCAGCTAATTACCAGATAAAAATGTATTGTAAGGACTCTAATTAGGAGACGAGGATGGAGGTGATCTAATGATTAAATGCTGCATTGGAGTGACCCCACCATCAGTGTGCAGTGGTGCAAGATGTCGCTGGAATATTTTGTAGAAACAGTAATTTTATTTCGACGAGGGGAGGCAGTAATATTTGTAATGATGGCTGTGAGGTAAACTAATTAAAAGACGGCTCCTGGAGGAAGAGGGTGGCTGAGAGCAGCTGTGCCCATTCCAACTCTGAGTGCCAAGTCCCGCCAGAGGAGCTGCACTCAAGTGGAAAATTTCTGCCTGACCTCTGCCCTTGCTGTTAATTTGCAGGAAAACTAATGACACATATACATATTCCCACAAAATTGTTCTAATTGCTCATTTGCCAAAGGAGCCCAGATTCCAAATTAAACATGACTGTAGTCTGTTGAGGGAAGGAAGAACAAAAAGCTGTAAAGCCCAAACATGCCGCTCGGCCTGGAGAACTAACTCATCTGAAGGCTGAACCAACAAAGTTAATGAAATGTCAACCTCGGCAACGGGGACACAAGTTCGTTAACTTTTAAACTTTTGGATGACCGCATGCTTGTCTTGAGGAGAAACCATCTTCAGGGAGGAAGATCACAAGGCAGAGAGAAGATGGGGCATGGGGAAGGATTCTCAAGACAGGCTGTGTTCAACCCAAACCTACTCTCTTAGTGAGTGAAGGTCTCTCTTTAAACAGTGGACCGGAAAAAAAAAAAATTAATTACACACTTAGAAGAGGAAAGCAGTATCAGGAATGCTGTGGGTTTTGCCATGATCTTGAAATATGCATCTTAATTGTAAACTACTGCATCTTAACATAAGCATCAGTTAGAAATGAAAGTACATGGGCTTCGTGTTTCTGATTGTAGTTCAGGTTAGAAGAGAAGAATTTTTTCCAGGGCATGGAGCAGGAAGGGATGGTACTTGGGAGGGTTTCTTTTCCTATTTTTCTTATTGTGTTCATTTGCTATTTAAAAAGAAGTTGCTATGTTTAACAAAGTTAGTAACTCTGATATTTTCTGCATGGCAAGTTTCCATCATGTGATGGTTTCGGCAAAGATAATCTCCTTGAAACTCTGACCAGAAGTTAAATTCTTATGTCACTTAGAATTGCTGGAGGGTGTTCTTTTTTTAATTTACGTGTGCTCTCAACCACTGTCTTTCCCCCCCGGGGCAGTTACGGAAGGGCTGTCCTGCAAGTCTGACCCACCCCAGAGGACTGGAGCTGGATCAGCTGCCTTGTATTCTGCTTAGCCCCTTTTTAAGAAGATTAATCTTTAGTTTCTCAACACTAGCCTCCTCTCTCTTTTAAAGATCATGAGTCACTCACATTTCTAAAAAATAAACAAACCGCTGAAGTAAACCCCGGACAGGAACAGACTTGTCCTAAGTATTCCCATAAGAACTCATTTTTATTTTTGTTTGTACACTTGCCTCACATGAAAACAGACTCTGAGAACAAAAGACAAACCTGAAACCAGAACACGCCGGGACCCAGCTGCTTAGTAGGGACCTTCAGGCTCAGGGAACTCGTTTTCCTGCTGTTGGTTTTACTGGCTCGCACGGGTTCAGGTCCTGCTTTAACTGCACGGCGTTTCTAGACATGAGTCACTGGCGTTCAGGGCCGGGGCAGACCGTGGGGAGCTGGCACGGGCGTGACGGCGGGAGGCTCCTGCCTCTGTCCCATCCCCGCCGGGCCCCGCTGCAGGCGGACAGCCGGCGGATGTCACCGCCGGGAAAGGTGGTCTCACTGACAGTCTTCCTGCCGACGGGGCATGGAATGGGGAACAGCACGTAAGACTAGTCTGTGCCGGGCTGGGCTTGACAGTCTTTTATGACTGCTGAATATTATTTCTCCAACTCTAAAGCGAGGTGGCGAGCAGCCCAAAGGATCAGCCATTCCTTTCAGGGTTAAGAGACCCTCTTTTGCAAAGCGGGGACACTTTGTTTTTCTAGGAGCTAAAAACGATTTCAAAACGGCCCTAATTGCTCTGCTTAGGGGAAAAGGGAATGTGTAAAAAGGAAAATGTAATACAACATTTCGCTTCAAATATCCAAATTTCTGTAAGTATCTTGTAACATTTTCATAAAGTAGGATATACTGCCCACACTGTAATTACCTGCCCACCAACTCGGAAGAATGTGGTCTGTCCAGGATCGGGTGTTTTCTGGTGTGTAGGGATACCCTGGAGCAAAGCATACCTCTCGTGTGCTGAGCTGATAAAATATTAGGTACGGAATCGCCCTGACATCACTAAAGTGAAAAGTCTTTTTAAAAATCCCCAACAACTCCATAAAGTCCTAACACAGACAAGCTGTTCCTGCCGTTGTTAGTTTTGTCCCCTGGGTTATGCCTCCCTCCATGGAAGCGTCCCCTGCAAACTCCCTGCCAGGAAGGCGCAGAGGAGGGGAACCCCAAGCAGTACATTTTGGTGTTGACTTCGAGAATGGTATGGAGTTTGGAACAAAAGAATATCGATCATTCTCACCAGGGCAGTTTACTATTGTCTGCTGTTCTGCTTTTGCTTCCGTTAGCATGGAAAAGAGAAGAATCTTTTAAAACTCTACACATCTGGCCAATCTAAATGTCCGTCAGAAAGGCTTTTCCCATTGTATGCGCCGACTGCAGCAACGGACGGCTACTCTGGTAAACTTTACAAATCTTTGTCCATGTAGGCTCCAGACCTAACAAAATCAAAAGCTTACAAAGAAAATAAGAATGAAAAGCCTATATGATCTGGTGTCAGCCTTCCCTTCCTTCCTCCGCACTGATCACCATTACATGCCTTCCCTGGAGAAACACAGACACACGTGCCACTTCCTAACCAAGCAACGATTCACGAGGCTGCCTCCTTCCCATTTCCTCCTGTCTGTCTCTCCCAGAAGGCTTCCCCAACCTCACCGTCCTGGGCCGGGGTTCTCCTCACACGCAGCATGATCCATGCACTGAGAGCATGTGTTTGTATTTATTTACTAGTTTGTCCTGCAAGACTCCCAAACACCTCAATGCAGGGGCAAGTCTCCTGTTTTACTACTACTCTATGTTTTTATGTAAGATGCTCAGTAAATATTTGCTGATGCGAAAGTTTGATTTTAAATGCAGGAATTCCCTTCCCCCAAAAACCCCCTGCAGTTTGTGTCCTGGGTATAAATTATAAAAAGGAAGGTTTTTTTTTTTTTTAGTTTAAAAGATTTCAGAGCTGCTGAAAGTGGCTGAGGGGCAGGAATGCTGAAAGCTCACAGTCCAGTTTCCCTAGATGCTTCCTGGTGTGCACGGGCCTATGTGAGTTCCAAAACCTTGGGACTGTCCTGAGATGAGCCCATCCCCTGACTATCCAGCTGTAAGGCAGGTTCCACAATATGATCCAGAAACCAGGGCTATGAGCTGGTAGAAGAGCAGGCCAATGGGAGTGACTGGCTAAAAGTGACACTTACCACCCCAGTGGCATTTAGTGAAAAGCAACAGACGTTTACAATGAAGCATTCTATCACTTAGTGACTAAGAATTTAAAATAAACATGAAGTTCCTCTTAAACAGAAATGGAAAAAAGAAAAAACTTCCTAAACTTACTGGCAAAGCTGCACCATGGAAGTCCCCATCTATGGTTAGACGGACTCTCCCGGTGACTGCTTATTGCTAATCAAAGATTCCAGAGGGATACATGCTTGAAACATATACCATGCGTTCGATACTTAAGGTGGAATATATTAATTACAGGCAAAGGGAATACTCTGCACTTTAGAAATGACTATCAGAGAGCTCTGTATCCCTAAAGTTGAAAGAATTAAGGGGTTGCTATATGTGTGAGCCTCTTCTTCCCTTTTTTTTTGGAGGGGGGGAGGCAAGGAAGTAAAAATTTATGCAAAACACTACACATCTACCTTTTATAATTAATTTCCCAATGCCTCACCCATACATATTTTAATAATTCCAGATTTATAAGATGGTATCTATAATAAAATTTTCTATTTTCCAATAAATGGAAAGAAGACAGGTTCACACCAGCAACAGAGTGTCACACAATATCTGCTTGTCAGGCACCAATTTTTACTTCTTACATGTAAGTTAAAGGATAGGGAATTTATAATGCTGCCTGTGAAGGGAACCACTTTTCATACACAAATGTGATCTTTTTTTCCAAAGGGTAATACAACAGTACATTTACATAAACTAATCCAAACAATCTATGTATTTGACAATGGTGAACCTCACACAGACGGCCTATTGTTGGTTTACATCTTGGAGTTCTTTATACTGGCTTGTAGCGCTGCTCTAGCTGTCAAAGGTTTGACTTGGACTCTAAATAAATGGTTATAGAAGTGCTGTGCAGTGATATTGGACTTCTTTGCAAAAGAAAACCTGCTGTGTATGAATTCAAAAGCTATTAATTTTTCAGTCAAAAATATTCGTGCCTATTTCTTTTAATAAAGAAATACTGTGCTGAGCTACTAAGAGATAATGTTGACTAGTGGTAGAGAATTTTCAATAGAGCAGTTAAAAATAAATTTAGTGGGAGGTCCCCTTCAAAGTTATAATTTTCTAGAATGTAAAACATTTTTTTAAATACCGATCAAGACAAACCTTCCTTTTCTGTGCATTTCCCCCATGACTACTTCTCCCTGTTTACTGGCTGCTTACCCCTGTCCTCACGGAGGTTCCCAGCCATCCTTTCGTAGCTCAGGGAGGCCCACAGATACGGCACAATCCCCACCCCGTTGCCTGCTGAGCGCCCCATGGGGTTTTGCAATTCCTTTTTTGCTTTTATCCCTCTACCTCCCAAGGAGCCCCATGATCTGAAGTGAGTCCATTCCTAGAGTGCTCGAGTCCAAACATCATTCTATTTACTGTTTTTCATCCATGGAGGAAGTAGGAGACAATCTCACTCTGCCCCTTGCTGTTAGGTCTCAAGACTCAAACCCTTCCTTCTAGAAAAAGCCATTTCAAACAAAAGCCAGGAGAACACTTTCAGAGAGTTCGAAGGCAGTCAGTAACCCCAGCCAACAGCCATGCCCACTGGAGGACTCAGCCAACTCCTTTTAGTGTCTTGCCCATTTGCTTAGCTGGGCTGGTATCATTCTCAGGATCCCCTCGCCAGGAGGGGCTGCTAAGAGCGGCGCGGACGGCTCAGGTGGCCGCTCACTCCACGCTTTGGAGTGGCCTGGTGCTTCCTGTTCCTGTGGCAGCCTCCACATCCGGCCCTAGAGCGACTTACCGCGAAATACATGGAAACTAAGGGCCCTTTCCTGGGAAAAGTGGATGCGCAAACTGTTTAATGATTTTATGTCCTATATCTCAGTAATGTGTTCTGTTTCAGACATTAATTTTGTCTGCCAACTGCATCTTGGCAGGCTACCATATTTGCTGGGTTAATAGTCTGACTCCGTTTTATTTCTATCACCATAAATCATACATATATGGGTGTATGTTTGCTTTATTTATAGAAAAAAAATCAGTCAAAACAGATAAACCAATACTGTGCCATTATGCTGCATCATTGCATATTGATTAAAATTGCTGGTACTAACTATAGATTGTCAACGCTCAATTAATTTTCACACAGTGACTCCAAGCAAAATCAAATAAAGGCAGTGTACCTTTAAATTTTACAAATCTTAAAAATCAAGAAGCAAAGCACCCTCTCCATTTTGCATAATCAGTGGAAGCGACTAGATTTTTAGAAATTTAAGCATATGAGAACTACAACTATTAATGCAATCAATTCATAACAAGGAATGAGGCCCAAGCCAGAATTTGGGGTTTAGATACCATCCTTCTGCTTTGATATTAAATGTCTGTGCTTCAAGGTCAAATAAAAGGGAATAAAGCAAGAAACAGGAGATTCCTAAAAGTTACATGTAATTCAATATACCAAAGTTTGGTCTCCTAACTGTGAATGAATGATTTTCACTTCAGACTCTTTAGTAACCATTAGATGCTAGCCACAATTTTAACTTTTCCTTCTGACGGTCTGTGTCCTACGTTCTTCCTCTGCTGCAGTCAGGCCGGACTACCACTCCTCTTGCACCCACTGTCTCTTGCTAACTCATTCTCAAATGCCTATCTTCTGCCTTCACGGTCTGGCTCGGCACTCCCACACTCAGAAAAGTTTCTGTTCTTTGTTTTTTCTTGTCCCAGTGAGCTCTCATTATGCATTTTAGTACCGTGTGTAGCACCAAATCACCTGTCCTAAGGGCGGGCTGCTTGTGGGGCCTCAAGGCCAAGGACTACACCTCATCATTCCAGATCTCCCTAAATGCCTAAATGCCCTCCTCCTAAAGGTAATAAATAAAACACTCAACTGAATACAAGTCCTTCAAAACACAAAGCTGCCAGGGTAGGCTGTCCTCCTTCCCGTCCCTGGGATGGGAGGGAGAGAAGAAACGCCACCGGGCTTGCCCTGCAGGGCTGCCCATGACTTACGGGCTGGGGCGCGGCCTTGGGCTCTGAAGACTTCACGTGCAGGTGGCTCATCATGGCCTGCAGGCGCTCCTTGTCTTTGGCGAGCTAGCAGGGAGAAAAGACTGTGTTACTGCTTTGAATACAGACACTGTACTATCTGAACATCCCAAATGACACATACTCCAAATTAAATTATGGCAACAGCACACGGGACAACATCTTTTTCACTGCTTCATCATTTTGAAATCTATACGACCATTGCCAAACTCTAAGTAACTAGAGGTGTCAGTGTTAAGATTTCCCAACACAAGATACATCAGCCTTTAACTGGGGAGTTCCAGACCTGCTGGCACCAGGGAGCCCCATGTAGCACAGACAGCTAGAAGACAAAAACATGAATCATGCCTATTAACCAACCTTATTCATGAGGAGGCCAAAGAAAAACGATCGAGGCAGCTAAAACTCATAAATTGCACCTGTTGTGGTTGTGGAAAAACTCCTAGACACATGGATGTACTTATGCAAAATTAACTTAGTCTTTCTTAATGGGAGGCACGGCTGACACTGCTGACCAGGACACGGACAGGCATGGTGCTACAAGGGGCGACATGGACAGGCATGCAGCTACAAGGGGCGCCAAGTGCCCATGTTTCAAGTGAACGCAGAGTAACCTTAGTCACGTATTCAATATGTGAGTACCTACTATGTGCTGATCTCACCTTAAAAATTTAAATCTGCTCATTCTATAAAAAATTTAGCATCTGCAGGCAGTTTCTCACTGGATGTACAGGAGGCACTCAAATACAACCTACTGGGTGGGTGCTACTTTATTTGTACTGCTTTATTAACACAATGACGATAGTTCAACATTTGGGCACAGGGGATATATGATAATTTGGTTCTAGGTAGTTTTGCCACAGCATCTCTACCACAAGCATGTATGCCACACAACTAACTGGCCCTGAGACAATTCTGCCATAAAAGAAAAAAATCATGAAAATTAAAACAGACATTCATTAATAATGACATAATGAAACATAAAAATTGAGTGACACAATCAAGAAAAGATTTATTATGAAGTATGAAATATATGAATATGTTTAAAATGCATAGTGTAGATTCATGGCAATACTGCAAAAAAAAAAAACAAAAAAAAAAACGATTTTATTTTGTGGCTTGTACCTATGCTGGTGTCTCCAAAGGCCTTAGTTCATAGTATTATAGGTTTGTTTGCTTTCCTGTCGACTTGTCTCCTCATGGGGCATTACCCTCTTTCTCTCTAAAATGTCTGTGTTCATTAAAAGAGGTTATCGGCTTCCGAACCCTAGAACACGTGCGTGCCTGTGCCTGAGCTTCGTACCGCGTTGCAGAGCCGTCAGCAGGGCCATGTGCTCCTGGCGCCCCGTCCGTGCCTGCGAGGTGTCCCCAGCTCTCTCGGCGCTGTGCGCTCAGAGTCCCATGCTACTCTGCAGACCATGACGAGGGCTGAGATTTATATAACACAGCAGCGGAGGGGCTGCATCAACTGAGAAATGAAGCCTAACTGCCAAACAGGTGATGAAACCAACAAATGGCCAAACCAAACTGTCAGCCAGTGGGTTTCCTTTCTTTTAGGGCAGAACTGCCCTCCGGCCCATCAGTTATGTGGTGAGGACACTGCAGCAGAGATGTCTGCGGCCAAGGTGCTCCCAACAAACATTCCAGGTGCAATAATAATTACCACTGTAAAAGAAGTGGGGAGTGTGTGTCCCGGAAAGGCAAGGGCATGGTTCAGAGCACAGCTGTGGCTCTCCAGGGACAGGCAGGGGGTGCTTGGAGAGTGGGGGCAGGGCAGGGGGGCAAGAAGGAGTCAGTGCTTCGGTGGACCCTGTGTCCAAAGCCGTGCCTGACAACTAAGGAGCAACTCATTCCTTGTATGTCACACAATTAACCTCAAATGTGTTAAATAGCGACTAATTTTTGTAAGTCCAATTATTCCAAAATAAAGACCAAGTGTGACTCATATTTTAAATAAAGGTGTTTTCTAAGGGAGGAGGGCTGTTTTAGGAACTGGGGGAAAGCAGTGCAAAGGGTATACGTACAAAATAAAAAAGCAAAGGAGAAAAAGCCCTCGGCTCATCTTAACTGACTGCATGACTCAAGCCCTATCACAGCGGCTTTTTTTTTTTTTCTTTGTATTCCCTTGTGGTTCAGGGAGGAATAAATTAAGAAGAAAAAAAGCCTTACAGTGTTAGCATTTATCTATCTTTCAACAAACAGGAAATGAAAATGATACCATATTAGGAGCCACTTTATGTTACTCATCCTCTATTCTTTAGTAAGTTATTGAAGGGCCAAATCAAAAGATGCTCGAACACATAATGCTAAAGGAATTTAGTTTTCCAAAGTGGCTCAGTTAGGACAATTAAAATGCTACTTCTCTGCAGTTACTTGTTTCTTTATGTAAGTGTTCTAAGTTTTTAGATTTTAAAGCTAAAACATTCTTACAATTTTTTAAAAAATGCTTTTTTTTAAAACTATCATGGGCAGAACAAATTAAGGTATATATGTCACTCTCTTTAAGTGTCTGCAGTCCTGAACTTAAAGTACAGGGTGAGAGGCGATGTTTACTGAAGTGTCTGGTGAATATTAAATGTAACCTCATTTGGGAGTAAACATGGCTGATGTAGCAATTACTGACACCAAGCAGAAGGAAACCCAAATTCCCATCATCCAACGGACTCACCACTTCTATACTGAATCCAAATGTCTACCAAGCTGACCTTTCACTGGTCAAAGGCAGTTAACACCATGCTGCAAACACATACCTAGGGTTTGTACACACAGCCACATGCGTGACCCCGGAGGTCACCGCCATAGGGGACATCTTATTTTGCCATAAGGATATTACTTTGGATTCACTGTCTACTTTGAGTATCACCCGGGTTCCTTATTTTGCCTCACCTCAACCCTATCTGCCTACTTCTGCTTTACTATAAAAAAGATGGGCAAGGTTACAGACAAAGGCGACAATCTACCTCCTTGTTTTTGTTTGACTAGTGCAAACTGGCATGTGATATATTCTCGGATGAGTGGTGGATTTTTCTCATCAATTACAGCTCTAATTCTAACACAAACTGTTTTACCAATTCAAGAAAAAAACCTGCCAAAATCACTTTTTTTTTTTAAGGCAAAAAGGCTAAACATTCACACCTACTGAAACCATATCCTCTCTCTACAGTGGCTGTCTGTCATTTATAAATACTCACTGGTCCTTCAAAAAGCTTTCTGATTTTTTTTATTACTTCTTATGCCATCATTGTATGAGCTCACTGTCCCTATCAATTTTCACGGCACCCTTTCATTATTATGAGAATACAAACATTTAATATTACCAAGTATATGCCAAGCATTTCTTCATAAACTGAATTCCATGAAAAGCAAAGAAAAAGAAGATGAGAAATTCAGCCCAAAGGTCAACAAAAAGTATACTTGGTAAATTTAAAAATGTCTCTTATGTTACACTATCAAAAGAGAATCATTCTCTAAAAGCCTTCCTGGTGGGTACTGAAGCAGCAGCTGGTATGGAAGGAATGGCAACCCGCCCCACATTAAGGGGACAATGTTTTTGTAAATGAGCAAGTTCATTCACCAAGCCTGCAGAATGACAGCAGAGCTGAACAGGGACTAAGGATGTCGACACCACAGGCTAGGCTAGATTCAAGTTCTGCTCTGTGACTCTGAGCACATTAGCTACCCCCTTCCAGAATTTAGTTTTTCCTTCTAAATATGGAATAATCATCTTTGACCTTTGAAGGGCTGTTTTAAGATTAGGTAAACTCCTGCACTAACAAGCTTAGCACAGAGTTCAGTGCCTTGTGAGCGCTCAAAAAATCTCATGTTTTTTTTAAAAGGAAAGTTAAATTGGTCTCAACTAGATAGACTTCTACTGGCTGACTGTATGTTTGGAATCTGGATCAACATAACGAGGGTTCGATGCAGTTTGCAGTTGGGCTAACTGGGGAGAGAACTGTGTTATTTAAAAGCATGGAATGAAAAGCACAGCAGAGATGAAGCCCATTTCTTATGGACTCATTCCCTTGGTTCTCACTGTATCTTTCCCTCATCCTAGGAAATGCCTTTTCTCCCCCTGGCTGACACAGGCCATCTTCTCTTTTATTAGCCGTGGCCTCAAAGTGGGTTTGAAGATAGACCAGGCTGTGAAAGACCAGGGCATGGGCATCACGCAGGACCCAGGAACTGCCGAAGGCCAGCGGCTCCACTTGACATCTTCAAGACAGACGGAGGAGATTAAATGTATTCTTTAAGCAGAGTAAAGTGAACACGGTTTTAGGTTCATTTAACATGATCATTTTAGATGTTGTCAGGAGAACTAATCATTTTAAGCCCAATTTGGCGGTTTTTATGTGTGAGAAACAAAATTCTTCTGAAATAAATGAAGGATTCTGGATGTGTAAAAATGTTAGAATGACTGAGGACAGAGGAGAAGAAGGGGCCAATTTGCTCTTCTGATGTCATGGAAGCCGGTGCAGCTGTGGCTTTTCCAGGCTGTCTGATCCTATCATTGTTATTTTCTAGTTGGGGAAACTGAGGCTCACAGGGTGAATTTACCTGAGGTGATGGAGCTGAGAAGGGGCAGAAAGAAGACTAGAATCCCAGGTACGTGACCCTTGGTCTGACTCTCCGAGTGCAGCAGGATCCCACGAATCATGCCGGATACTCTCTGAAAACACAGGTCTTCCCCTCCCCCTGACCCTGATGCTCAACTACTGGTGCCGACCCTCCACGGAGGGAGTGGTGTGTGGTCTGAGCAAGCAGGGAGCCCATTTGTGAGCAGGGACACAGGACCAGGTGGTTTTCAGAAGGACGCCAAGCATCCAAGTTGGATGAGGCAGGTCTGCGAGACCCTGCGCTCTCTCACGGACAGAGCGCCTTCAACAGTAGCCGGGAGGTTTCCTCAGTCGTCTGGTCTATTAAAGCGGGCCAAACAGAACTGACTGAGGCAGTGTGCACCCAGTCCTCCAGGCCTATGAAGTACGTATGCTCAAAAGAACAAAAACAAGGGAAAATCCAAACTCAACAGTATAAAGAGTAGAAATGACATT